TGACAGCGTTCTGACAGCGTTCTGACAGCGTTCTGACAGTGTTCTGACAGCCGTTCTGACAGCTTTCCGACGGTAATTTACAGTTAAGACTCACCATCTGGTCTGATTAAAGGAGAGCGATCTCAGTGTCGGTTACAGCAGAAAGATTCCTTAATTCTCTCCACTCCAAAAAAAGTCCGGTGGGGAACCGACATCATGGCCCCGAATGCCGTGCTCTCAAGGTCATCTGTGGGAGCTCCACAAACCAGGTTACCAGAGCACACGTGTGTCGTGTGTGGATCTCTGCGTGCTTCTCGCCGCCTCCCCGCCTCCGCGGCCCAAGTTGATGGCGGGCAAGTGATCGACGACCACATGCAATCTCCCCCCACGGCCGTTTTTTGTCGACGCGCCGGGAACGTGGGCTACGTGTAGTAATTCGTCCTACTCTCTCGTCAACGTTGGCGCCGTGTAGGTAGAGTAAGGTCTACTCGCGTTGATCACTTAGACCGCGTAAAGCACCCCAGCCTGGCTAGCCAGGTTTAGACCCGCAAAGAACTTGGACTACTACACCCAACCAGTGCCGGATCGCGCAGCCTCGGGCGAGCTCGGGCCGCGCCGCGCGCGATCTCCCAGGCGATACTCGCGCTATCTCGGGCGATCTCAGCTGAGCTCTCAAGGCGCTCGGCGGGTGCGTAGCGCTTGCGCCACTCGGGATAGCGCCCAAATATCGCCCAAATCAAGGGCGCTGCCGGGCGCCGCCGGGCGCCGCCGCCTCACAAGCACAGCAGTGTTTCACGGCCCCAAGCCGAGCCGAGCCATCGTGGCCGCCATCGCCGCCGGGGAGCTGAGCAGCGGCGGCGCCACCCCGCTGTCCTCGCTCGCAGCCGTCCAGGCGGCCGCATACACGACGAGCCCCTCAAACGGCGGGTGCATCCCTTGCGGGCAGCCCTGCTTGAGCTGCCGCTCCACGAGGGCGACGTGCTCGGTGAGCCCCTGCCCGCACATGACGGCCACGGCGGCAAGCCCGTAGTCGGCGAGCTCTTCGATGAAGACGCCGATCCGAATCGGCGCGTGCTCCAGCGCCTTGGGAGACGCGTGGCCATTCGGCGGCCTGTCACAGATGTCGGCGTTCCGGTTGTCCACCATCTGGAAGTCCATGCACTGCACCTCGTCAGACAGGCCGTAGACGAGGGTCAGCATCAGGCACTGTCCTCCCTGAAACGGAACCAGCGACGCTCGCACCTCCACCCGCTTCCTCTCGCCCTCTTGCAGCGCCGCCGCGACGTGCTCGGCGGCGGCCCGGAAGCGGGTCGGCCCATAGATCATGCTTGCTCTTTTCCAGTCGATCCACCCCTTGGCCGGTCAGCACGTTTGCCGTCGATGGGCGCTAGCCCCCGCCGCGACGGCTGCTGGTTCATATCACGCAGCGTCTGGACACTGGAGCAGCACACGGCGCATCCCCTACAGGATCTCTTCGATAAACTCCCTCCCGCGCAGCGTCGCCGTGCACTCCCCGTGCACTCGATAGCACTCGGTAGCACTCGGTAGCACTCACAGAGCACTCCCCGTGCACTCGATAGCACTCGGTAGCACTCAAAAGCACTCACAGAGCACTCCCCGTGCACTCGATAGCACTCGGTAGCACTCGAAAGCACTCACAGAGCACTCACCGTGCACTCCCCGTGCACTCGATAGCACTCGGTAGCACTCGGTAGCACTCACAGAGCACTCCCCGTGCACTCCATAGCACTCCGAAGCACTCGGTAGCACTCACAGAGCACTCCCCGTGCACTCCCCGTGCACTCGATAGCACTCGGTAGCACTCGGTAGCACTCAAAAGCACTCGCAGAGCACTCCCTGTGCACTCGATAGCACTCGGTAGCACTCAAAAGCACTCACAGAGCACTCCCCGTGCACTCCCCGTGCACTCGATAGCACTCGATAGCACTCGGTAGCACTCAAAAGCACTCACAGAGCACTCCTCTCCAGGTGCAGAGCCCGCCCACGCGCAGGTCGTCGAGCGTGTCGGCGAAAGAGTATGTTGGCCTGGTGGCGTAAGCCTTGCGCTCAGAGCATTGACCCGAGGCGATCGTAGTTCGCTTGACGGTGGAGGTGATCGTCACGTCCCCGATCGGCTGCCCGGCCTCGTCGCAGAGGCGGACGGGCGTCTGATTGCCCACAGTCATGCACTCGCCCGCCTGGTTGCCGCCGTCGACCGCCTGTCCCGGAAGGCAGCACGGCGTGCCAACGCTCTCAACGATGATCACGACGCCGGTGTTGAGCACGACGTCATCCTGCTTGTATTCGAACGTCCACAGCGGGTGCGGTGCGGCGAGGCTCTTGTCGCATTCCAGATCAGGCACGCCGCCACACCAGCCGAACTTGTAGTTTACCGATTGATCCATGGTCGTCGACGAGGTTGTGGTCTGCGAGAAGACGTTGGAGGTGGTCTGCGCGGTGCCGAAACCTGTCGACGCACTGACGCTTTTGCCGATTGCCACCTCGGTCGACGCGCCGCTCGCCAGCTCTGTGGTGGTCGCCATGCTCTGTGGTGGAGCAGTGCGAGCGACTCTGCCGGGTACATGCTGCGCGCGAGAGGATACTCGCGGATCTGCTGCCGCAACTCGGCCGCCGCCTCTCGTCGCCCGAGCGCCTCGAGCGCCTTCACAACGCGGTGGTGGCCCTTGAGATACTCTGGGTTCGCGTCGGCCGCGCGCCGCGCGCTGCGCAGCGCCCTGTCTGGGGCGCCCGCCAAGAGCAGCGCCTGTGCGCGATTCGCCCACGCGACGGCGGCACCCTTGTTTGGGAACTTGGCCGTCCACGAGCCGCCGTCAGGAAGCTGCATGTCTCGTTGCGTATGCTGCACAGGAAGACGCTCGACCAAGGACGTCCACAGCAGGTCTTCGTTCTCGACAAACTGGCGCTGCGCGGATCCCTCGGGCCAGGCCTCGAGGGCAGAGATGAAGGCTTGGATGGCCCCACCCTCGAGAGGTCCCATGGCGAGTAACGCCGCATCGCGGTAGAGCTTCGCAGCGCCCAGGTGGTCGCCCTCCTTGAGCCGCTTGTTGCCCTCCTCCTTGGGCTGCTCCCACGCTGCGTCGAGCTCGAGCGCGAGATGGTCAGCCGTGCTGAAATCCTTCCAGCGACTCGCGCCGTGCATCATGCCGCGGAAGTCTGGCACAGGAGCCCGCGTTATGCACAAGACCGGTGTCGAAGCGCGGCAGACGGCACAGCCCTCTTGCGCGCGGGGGCGGCGGCTGAGAGAGTTTTCTTCTTTTATATATCCAAAAGGAACCGGTGTCGAAGCGCGGCAGACGGCACAGCCCTCTTGCGTGCGGGGGCGGCGGCCAAAAGAGTTTTCTTCTTTTATATATCCAAAAGGAGGGCTACACGACGAGAGAGAGAGAATTCTTGATACGAAACCACGACGACACACACCAGTCGACTCGCATCGGTTGCCTCCATGAACGGCGGAGCTATTCTCGCGCCCACACCACACCTGGCTCCAACGTGGACACGCCCATAGCTGGGGACACTACTAGGTCACGCATGGCATCACAGAAGTTTTATCTCTGGGCCCCGAAAGGCATCTCTAGCAGTGTCGTTACACATGCCCCCTCCCCTCCTGGGCGCATGCGCCTCACGTCTCGCCAGAGCATAAGCCCTTGGCGTGTGGCGAGACGAGTTTTTCGCCATCGCAGCGAGCAGCAAGCCGCCCGCCGCAAACAGCCGGAGGCATCGCCACGGCACTGACTGCGCCGCGATCCCGCACCCGTCGACGAAGCTCCCCCCGCGGAAGACCGCGCGTAGCGACGCCTTGACGATCGAGATGAGCGCGCTCGAGGCTCGCCCACCTACTGCCCCTGAGAGTTGGTTATGAGTGGGCTCGGCTCCCCCCCTTGGGATCGAAGCTTCCACGACCTCACACCCAACACCACAGGTGGGATCAGAGAGAGACCCCGCACCGGACACCGCCCGGGCACAGACCCCCTACCCATCGGATCGCACAGGGCCCCCTCGGAGCAGCCCACACACAATCACGCATCGGCAGAATTAGTGCCTGAGTCAGGCAGACAGCACAGACAAGGAGAGGAGAGAGAGGAGAGAGAGAGAGAGGAGAGGGGAGAGGGTGAGGGTGTGAACACACGTGTGGAGAGGGAGGGTGTCTGTGGTGGGCTGTAGTCATACTACGTGGTTAAAACCACGCGCCCCTCAGGAGCTTAAGGTAGAGTGTAGCGTCTGAGACGCCTCGGTGCCTCCCACCGGCGTGAAGACCATCCGGATCTACCGAGCTCGTCCGGCTCCGGACGGACCCGTCCCCGCGATGGCCCACGGTCCTCCGTCGCCTGGTTGAACCCCCTGCCTCCCGGTTGACCCCCCGGTCCCCGTACACGACCATGAAATAAACTCAAAGTCCACCACAGCCACCAGCCTCCACCTCCACCCGCGAGCCGCCACCGCTGCCGCCCGCGACGCCGCCCGCCGCGTCGGATAGCCGCGACGCGCGCATCGAGTCGCGTCGGAGAGCCGCGCCGCACCAGCATCAGCATCTGCACCACCAGCAGCAGCAGCAGCACCACCACCACCACCCGAGAGAGAAGCGCACCTGCCCGACGCCGCCCGCCGCGTCAGACGCTCGCGACGCGCGCGTCGAGCCCAGTCGCACAGCCGCGCCGCGCCAGCAGCAGCATCGGCACCAGCAGCAGCAGCACCACCACCACCAACAGCAACAGAGACAGGCAGTGCAGGCGCAGAGGCGCTCGCAGAGCGGCGCTCAGCGCCGCGCACGCCACGCTGCGGACCGTCGGACGAGCGCACCGTACGTCGGCGGCGAGCCGCGTCGCCAGCCGTCTCGCGAGAGAGCGGCGCCGCCGCGTGCGCGCAGCAGCCGCCGCGGCAGAGGCGAGCCGCGGCGACGTCCGCACTAACGGATAACGGCCATTGGCTCTCTCTCTCTCTCTCTCTACACGACGCTAACTGGCACGCGCTTTTTTTCTTTTTTCGCGAGCTCTCTCCCGCCTCGCGGGGCCAGGTGTGTGTCCCGCTGGTACACCTCGTTCTCCCATGACCCCGCCTCCCGTCTCGTACGTCGACCGCCTGGGCACGACCTACCCGCTCAACTCGCCTCGCTGGTGCGCCGACGCCGCCGAGGCCGACGGCTCTCCCATGCCGCTCATGCTCACCGATCGCACGGGAGGCATCACCCGCAGCCAGATAGACGCCTCTGTGCGCTCCCTCTGGCGGTACTCCGCGTCCTTCCCGCTGGAGTGCGCCTCTCCCATCTCGCTCGGCGAGGGCTGCACGCCGCTCGTCCGCCGCCCCTTCGGATCCGGCGGCGGCGAGGTCGAGACCCAGCGTGCGCTTGGTCGAGGGGCGGGAAGGTGCGCCTCGTCACGGCGCACGCGGTGAACAGGTCCACTTCAAGTGCGAGTGGTTCAACCCGACGTGCTCGTTTAAGGACCGCGGCGCCAGCGTGATGCTCTCCCTCCTCAGGCAGCAGGGCGTCACGCACGTGCTGGAGGACTCGAGCGGCAACGGCGGTGTCCAGGAAGTGTCTAGGAGGTGTCTAGGAAGTGTCTAGGTGCTGGAGGACTCGAGCGGCAACGGCGGTGCCGCGGTCGCGTGCTACGCCACCGCCGGCGGGCTCGGCGCAACCATCATGGCGCCGTCGTCGACGAGTCCGGCGAAGACGGTGGCGATGCGAGCGTACGGCGCCGAGGTCGAGCTCATCCCGGGCTCGCGCCAGGCGACCGCCGACGCCGCGGTGGCGGCGCACGGCCGCGAAGGGCGGGGCGGCGGCAGCGTCTTTTACGCGAGCCACGCGTGGCACCCGTTCTTCCTGCAGGGCACGAAGACGCTTGCCTACGAGCTCTGGGAGGATCTCGGCTTCCGCGCGCCCGACAACGTCATCCTCCCGACCGGCTCGTCGAGCTGTGAACAGCGTCTCTTCACACCGTCTTAGTGCTTGTTGAAAGTAAGCGTTCAATCAATTCCCCCGAACCCAGGGGCGGGGCCGGGTACTCGGAACGTCATGGGGTGCGACATCGGGTTTGGGGAGCTGCTCGCCGCGGGCGAGATCTCGAGGCGGCCTCGCCTCTTTTGCGCCCAGCCGCTGGCTTGCTCGCCGATTTGCACCGCCTTCCTCGAGGAGAGCGGCCGCAGCGACGGCAAGCCGACCCCCGAGGAGTGGAACGCGCCTGTCGCCACCATCGCCGAGGGGGCGTCCATCGCTCGGCCGGTGAAGAAGAGAAGAGAAGAGAAGAGACGAGAAGTGACGAGACGAGGAGGGAAGAGTCGAGGTGGCGTCCATCGCTCGGCCGGTGCGAGATGAGGGGAGATGAGGGGAGATGCGGGGAGATGAGGGGAGATGTGGCATCCATCGCTCGGCCGGTGCGGCTGCGCGAGCCGTGCGACGCTAGTTAGTATCCCATCATGAGTCATTATTACATGAGTTGTAGGTGCGGCTGCGCGAGACGTGCGACGCGCTGCGGCGCAGCGGCGGAGGGGCGGTGCGAGTGGCGGAGGGGGCGATCAAGGCAGCGACGCTCGAGCTCGCGAGGAGCGGGCTGTACGTCGAGCCGACTTGCGCGCAGGCCGCCGCCGCCTACCACGAGCTTCTCGCCTCGGGCGCCATCCAGCCGGCCGAGGTGGCGGTGGTGCTGCTCACCGGGACGGGTCTAGGAAGCGTCTCGGAAGTGTCTAGGAAGCGTCTAGGTGACGGTGGTCGTGCTCACCGGGACGGGCGTCAAGGCGACGCCGCGCGTGGCCGAGATCCTCGGGGTCGAGCTGTGAGGCGACCCGGCCACAGGCGGCGCCAGACAATCGCCAGAGGCGAGCGGCACAGAGCGGACGCGCGGGCGGGCGGGGCCGCCCTAGGTGAGAGCGTGCGTGCGGCGTATGGGCGGTCTGCGCCCGGTGCGCGGTGCCAGTGCCACACAAACTCAGAGCCCCGGCGCTTTGGGGGACACGCTTCGAAGTTCCGGTTCCCTACCGCATGCTAACGGTAGAGTACAGCATCGGCCCGGAGGGCCGGGTGCGCAGGTAAAGCCGTAGAGGTAGGGCTGGCCTGGGGGGCCTCAGGTAAAGGTAAACCTGTCTCAGACCGCCGGAGGTAGAGGTAAACGGAGCCCACGTGAGGGGAGGTAAAAACGTACACCGTGGCCCCGCGCGGAGGGCTCGAGGTGGGACGACGCAAGGCCGCGAGAGCGCTTCGCCAGCGGCGCGCCTGCCCGGCCATGGACCAGGCTTCACCGCCGCTTGCCGACGGCTGATCGCATCGCCTACCGCATCGCGAATGACCAGTGCCGCGACCACTTGACCTTGCACTGCCCGCCTGCTGACCCGGTGCAAACTGCAAAGAATCTGCGTCTCAGCTCTTCGCGCCCGCATTGATTGTGCATGATTACTCAAGTGGCTCGAATTGGCAATTGGTCGCAAATGGTGGGCACGCTCGCAGCGCGGGGCGCCTGGCGGCGCCCATTTTGTGAAATGTCGGCCACTCACCTAAGCGGCTCTCAGAAACACTCGTGCGGCTGCGCATTTTATTTTCTCGGCGAGTAAGAATCGCAGATGATGTTGTATCGAGATCTCAACATCTCTCGAGGCGAGATCACGCACAGGTAAATCACGGCTACGTCGCTCAGAGGTAGAGGTAAAGGGCCCACGGCTGCGCCCAGAGGTAAAGGTAAGAGGGCCGCAGTACGGCAGGCCCTTGCGGCAAATGGGCCCGACTCGACGCACTCGTCAAAGGGCCACGCCGACGTCACCGCGAATCTCGGGCCCGCCGAAATGGCCGACTTTAATCTGTCGCCAACCTCGCGCTTGCACTTCGGCTGATCCGAAGCCACTGCCCCGCATGAGGGGCTGCTGGCTGCTGCAGCGCCGGTCCGGGAGCCAGAGCGTATAGCTGTTATAGTCCAAAGTAAAACAGTCAACCGAGATGTCACGCCACACGCTCTAACGAAAGTGGACAAACAACAACAACTGGGGGCGGACACACCATGCGAGACAGCTGCGAGTGAGCACATGCAGCGCGTGTTTTTGGCGAGTGACGTTGTGTGTGCACACAGTCAACAACGCCGCCTCTAATCACACTTGCCCCCGCGCTTCTCCTCGAATCACTACGCGGTCCTTCTCGCCAGCTCGTGGGGCGTGCCGTCGGGTACAATATAAAGAAGGCTTCCGATCTCCGCTTAGCACAAAATAGGCAGCATCTTGCAGATGCCTGCCGCAGTAGCCTCGATGAGCCCCGGCGGGGAGGGTGGTGGCGAGGGCGGCGAGGGCGGCGAGGGTGGCGAGGGCGGCGACGGGAACGGCGGGGGGAACAGATTTTCGAAGAAATCGTTCCAGTCGCGACTGCGTGCATCGTTGAAGACGCTGCCGTCGCCGATCGCACGCTCCTCCGTCGACAGCCCACTCTTCGCAACGGTGCCGGAGAATACGAGCATGGCCAGAACGATCGCTCTGGCCGCGAGCGACAGGGCGGACCAGTGGCGCGACGGCAGCGCGTCCTCCGTCGTCAGCATGGTCCAGGTCCCCTTCAACAATTCGGCGCGAGTTGTTCCCCGCGGATTTGTGTTTCTTTCTGCAGATAGGCTACAACAGGCGCGATGTGGGCGAAAGCGCGGCGCTCCCCGCGCGCCTTCTACTCGAGTACACTCGGATCCGGCGCGAGTCGTTGCCGTCGCCGGCGTCGCCGGCGGCCCGGACCCACCGGACTCCGGGTTCCGTTCACGAAAAAAAATGCTGCGGGTCAGTTTTCTCTAGCCTCGACCCCTAGTGACAGCGGGGTTTGAGGCTGCGGAGTGTATGCCCCCGTGTTGGGGACATGTTTGGGGCATGGGAACTGCAGAGATCACAAGATCAAAGTTTGAAGGGGATTTTTTCTCGATTTTCTTCGGCCGACGTCTCGCTCGCACGTCCGATTTTGACTTTGGCCGCTCCGCGTCGGCCAGGTTGGTGTACTCCGATCCGAAACTCTTCGCCGGCCCAATCAGCTCGACCGGCTCGACCGCAAACCGGCTTGGTTTGGCCAGCGGCGCGACGTCTGTCCCGTGCTGCGGCCATCTCGGACGTTCAGGCAGTGCCACTCGGCGGCTCGGCCGCGCATCCTTCACACACGCCGCCACGGCCGGGATGAGAGGGTTCAGAATCGAGTCATGGTGCGAGCTTCATGCGCTGGGCGGCTGTGGTCACAGCATGCCCACCAGACGGACCTCAGAGCTTGCCGTCGGCGTGCTGTCGTGGCGAAGCTCTAGAGAGCTGGGGAGGAGCCGAGTGCAATGGCGAGCCAGAGGCTACCTGGGTCACCAAGTGGTGGTCCTTGCCCACTCTGAGCAGGACTGTGCTTTGGTGGGATTGTGCTTGAGCACGTTCACGTCACGTCAATTGCATATTTCTCCACCACCACCAGTCCTTTCTCCGGGACAACAACCACTGGAGGCCACACAACTCGAGTAGTGTGAACGACGGACATAATCCAGTACTCACTCACGTGGCCGCTTGCCCGCCCCTACCCGCGCATGCTCACTCTCGTCTGCGCTCTGTTCGCTCACATCCGACCCCGAGTCCTCCGTTCCCGCGGCGGAGCCAAGCTCACGCGCATCCTCGGACGAGGCGGATGAGGACGAGTCCCCGCTCTCGCTGCTGCCATCACACACGCTGGCATCGCTGCCACCACTGCCGTCTGCGCCTTCGGCACCGGCACCGGCCTCGTCGAGCACAACGCTCGACCCCGACGGCGCAGCGACGGCGATCTGCGAGCGCACAAGCGTCTGGAGACGCTCGAGCCACTCTTTGCCGACCCCCTTTGGCCGCGACGCGTCGACTCGGTCGGCGGCGACCAGGAGCTCGCACGTCTCCCATTTTGCCGCGACGAGGGCCAGCTTGCCCTGAAAGCCGTGGGTCGGCATGCTCGGCAGCTGATCGAGCGTCAGCGAGCCCACTGGCGTGCTGCCGCTCACGCCGTCTCCCTCGCCGCCTCCGCTGCCACCGCCACCTCCAGTGCCTCCGTCACCGCCTCCGTCGCCACCGCCGCCTCCGTCGCCGCTGCCGCCGCCGCCACTGCCGCTGCCCGCGCTGCCCGCGCTGCTGCTGTCGCCAAGCTCGCCTCCTTGGCCGCCACTCGACGCCGCTGCAAAGTGCGCCACCAGCGCCGAGTGCAGAGAGCAAAGCGTCTTTGCGCCGACTCCTCTGATCTTGAGCTTGGCCAATGCCGACAGGCCCTCACTCGACAGAGCGGCGAGCGCGCCGCACGTCTTTGGCACAGCGTCCGCGGCAGCAGTCTGCGCCTTTGCCGTCCACGCGGCCACCGACTTCGGGCCAAAGCCTTTGATCAGTGTCGAGTTCAGCTCCGCGATGAGCGTCGACTTGCTGATGCTCGCGCCACCGGCGACCCATACTGCTCCCTTAGCTCCGCCGCCGCCCCCGCCGCCGCCGCCACCGCCCGAGCTCCGCCTCCGCCGCCGCTTCTTCTGGCGAGGCTCGCCATCCGAGCCGTCTCCGTCCGACGCGTCGTCAGCCACCGCCCCACGCCGCCGAGCATTCTCAAGCAGCCGCTTGAGCTGACCGCCGCGGCCGAAGTACGACTTCAGCTTGGACTCGTCGAGTGCCTCGGTGCGGCGGAAGCGAGGTCGGCCAAGGTCAACGCCAAAGTACGGGTGGCCCGCGTATTGCGCCGCCGTCGCCGCCGTGCCGACAACTAGCATCAGATCACGGGCCTGGGCCGCGGAGAACTTGACGTTGCTAAACGTCTCTCCGATAAAGTACGCGTTGTAGACGAACTCGAGCTGCTCTACCGAGCAGCGCTCTGTCGGCAAGCGCTGGGCGCGCGCCCACCCGAGCGGTTGCGGCGCCTGCACGTACTCCGTGCCATCCGAGTAACGGAGCCGGAAGTCGCCCGCGGGTTGCAGCTGCGGCGCCTGGCAAGCCGCGCTCGCCGCGCTGCTGTCGATCACTGCCGTGAGGGCATTGGCGACGAGGCTGACATCGCGATCCCGCGCCGTCGGGCGATCGGCGGCGACTCCGGAGCGGTACGGCCTGATGAGCCCCTCGTTGTGCACCCCGGCTCGTAGGTGCAGCTGGAGGCCCCGCAGCGATGAGCTCGTGAAGTTGCAGCGTGGATGCCCCTCTGGGTCGCAGCGGCACCAGAAGCCAACGCTCTGCTGGCAGCGCTCCACAACGGCCGCGCGCTCGACGAGCAGATCCTGCTTCTTGCGTTCCTCTCGGCTCTTCCGCCGCTGCGCGACGACCGCCTCGGCGCGCTCCCGTCCAGCCTTATCCCGGGCGACTGGAAGCGCTGAATGGCCGCCACGAGCGCCGCTGCTCCCAGCCTCACGAGCCGCCTCCGCCGCCGCCGCCGCCGTCGAGGCCTCGCCAGCTACAGCCGGTGCTCCGCTCGATTCGACGAGCCGCGGCAGTGCAAAGCTGACTGCCTTCTCCGACTGGCGGAGGGCTTTTGCGGCGACCCTTAGCCCGTCGCCGAGACGGGTCTGCTGGCGAAGCACCAGCTCACTGAACTCGCCAGCGTCCTTGAACACGTACTCCCGGTGGGACATCGCCGACAGCTGCTTTATGGACGCTGCGTCGAGGGAGGAGCCTTGCGACCGGTCGGGCTGGAAGAGCATCGCGCTCTCGTTGCGCCCGAGCGTCATCTGCACCCCTCGGTACAGCTTCTCGGGCGTGAGAATGTCGTGCATCGCGGCCGCGACGAGACGGCGGACCTTGGCGCCCTTCACACCAAAGTGGCCGTCGAGCTGCGATTTTCCCTTCCCGCTCTCGCCGATGTAGTGGTCCGTCACGGTGACACCCGTCAGGTCCCCCATCATGGACATGCCGACAGTGAACACCACTCCTGCGTATGCGCCCGCCCCGTCGGTCTTGACCGCCGCATGCGTGATCCATGGGTGCTCCTCCTTATAGTGCTTGAGCGCTAGGTACACGGCGGAGAGCGTCGCAAAGCCATCCTCCTTCTTATCCGCCATCATGCCGTCCACGTACGTCACGATGTACTCGCCCTCGGTGGCCTTCTCCTCGCCGTGCGCCCGCCTGATGAACATGACTCCGTGCCATGGCATACCCGCCTTGCCGAAGAAGTCCGACATGGCCTCGCGGAAGGACATGCTGAGGAATTTCATCTGCGGTCCGGCAAGGGGTGTAGTCAGGCGCGTGTTCGCTCTCCCCTATTCTCTCCGCGTGGCTCGGGCGGTGAGAGGCAGACAGAGCGCCAGCGAAAGTGTCGCGCTCCCCATCGACTGCGATGCGTACTACTCGGTAATCACCTTCCAGTCGGCCACGACGACGCAGCCGGTGTCGTCCAGCTCGCGGAGAAGCATCTCGAGCACCTTCGCCTCGTGTGCGGCGCGTCGCTCGTGCGCGTGGAACGCATGGAAGCGCACCAGCGATCGCTGAGTTAGCAGCCGAAGCTCGTCGAAGGTGCCCCGCCCCGCCCCCACCAGCACCTGCGCCTCGCTCTGCTGCCCCTCCCCCACGCCAGTCGTGTGCACGGACTCCTCCGCCCGCTTAACTAGGGACGCTGCCATCTCCAGCAGCAGCGTGAAGTCCGGCTCGAGCGAGTGCACTCTCGCGCACTGCACGCAGCGAAGCGTGTGCACACGTGTGCAGGCGGCGACACGAGAGGCGTCCGGCGAGCCCGTGCCAAAGGCACATGCGCGGCAGTGCTCTGGGCACGAAGGCTCGTCCGCACCCGGCTCGTCCGCGTCACAGCTCGCCAGATGCTTTGCCATCCCGCGTTTAATGAAGATCTCTACGCTCTCGACCGTCTCCTTTAGCGCGGCGGCGTGCGATCGCACAGCAGCCGCCTCCGCTTGCCATGTCGTGCGCTCGGCGTCGCCCTCGGGCAGAAGACTCGCGTGCTCTAGTTTACTAGCGAGCTGCCCGAGCTCGGCGCAGTACTCGCGCAGTCGCTTGGCCTGTTGGCGACCGTTCTGCTCAGCATACGTGTCTAGCGCGCCGTATGACTTTTGCGTCTCCCCCGCCACCATTTCTGCCAGCTCCAAGAAATGGCTACGGCCGAGGCGGAGAGTCGCGTCCCGCGTCGCGGCATACGCCGTATGCAGCGCCTCGGCGCACTGCCTGCGCTGAGTCTTTGGGAACTCCACCCAGCCAGTGGAAGTCTTGACACGATGCGTCCCGAAAGCAACGTGCTGCATGTTGTCCCCCGACGCCAGGAAGTCTACGGCGCCAACCAGCTTTGAGTGGGGGAGAGTTCCAAGGTCGCCCCCGCCTTTCAGCCGCCATTTCTCCGTCTTACTCACAGCTGGCGTCTGGCCGCTGAGCCAGATGCACGCGTGCCACTTCGCATATCGCCACCGGTATCTGGTCAGCGGCCCGAGTCCGGCCTCACCCAACTGAAACTCGAAGCATTCATTGAAGATGCGAAGCGAGTACCCCGCGGTGAGCGGCGAGAGGATCTGAGCCAGCACACGCACTGGCTCCTTTCGCTGCTCCGCACATATGTACGAATAGACCAGGCTTTTGGCCATCGGACTCTGCGCAATTAAATCGAGCAGTCGACGGCCCCGTGGCGGCGTCGAGGTCGAGAGCACGGAGCGGAGGCCGGCTCCAGCGCTGCTATCCGGCCTTGAGCGCTTCGGCGAGGCGGAAAGGGCTGCAGCCGTTGCCAGTGGATCTGGCGCGAGCGCGTCTAGCACGTGGTAGACGGCGACAGAGCCCGCCTGCATTAGGTTGCGGCGCCCTCCAGACGTCGCGCTCATGTTTGAGAGACCCATGTCAAACCTTCGGTCGAGCAGCGATGCCGGGAGCTTGCGGCCTGCCTCATCCGTAAGAGGCACGCCGAGGGCGGTCAAGATGCCTCGGAGCGTCAAACGCGGCCGCGGTGGAGGTGGCGGCGGTGGCAGAGACGGTGGCGCACTGCACGACGACACCTCCATTGGCTCGGGCGGTGCTGGTCCGCTCCGCGTCTGCCGATACTGACTGTCGAGGAGAAGACGAGTCCGGCTGAGCCCGGGCGGCACGGGAGCTTTGCGGTCGGCCACCGGCGTGGTCGACTCGTCCAGCTGACGCACCGGGTCGTAATCCAAGTGGTTGGCGCCAAACGCGAGCCACCGGCACCGCCCACCCTTTTGCGTCGTTGTTTTGGCAACGAGCAACTGGGCCGCGCCCGGCTGTTTCTCCGCGAGGTAGTCATTCAGAGCTGACTGGATAGCACTCCCTCGGCCAATGAGACCGGCCGCAGTCATCAGCGCCGCCACCGCACTGTGGTGGAGGCCGAGCCGCTCGGGAAGGACATAGTCGCGAGGCACCCACTCTGGCGCTTCATCTGCGGCGAGCCATACGCCCTGCGGAATGGCAAAGCTGCCCGGTCGAGAGAGCACGTCGAGAAGCCGCCGAGGACTCCACTCTGGTGGCCAGCTGGGCGGTGGAGGGGTTTTGAGGTCAGATTCTGTGTCCGGCACGCTCGTGGAGCCGTCCGCAGGGTCAGCGGCTGTCATGAGCTGGTCCGTGATTTCATGGTGCGGAGGCACCTCCTGCGTCGTAGACAGGGCGTTCTGGAGCTCTGTTGCGATACGACCCATCATCTGGACGGCTTTGTGTCGAGCGATCCGCGACGGCGCTGTGGCACGCCGTTCCTGGGGACGAAAAAATCGAGAAAAAATCGTGGTCAAAGTTTGATCTTGTGATCTCTGCAGTTCCCATGCCCCAAACATGTCCCCAACACGGGGGCATGCACTCCGCAGCCTCAAATCCCGCTGTCGCTACCCGTGTTTTCACACCCACGGTCAAAAAAACCGGCCCCTAACAGTACTTACTTTATGGCCCTCTCCCTGCGAACGCGCACCCCCCCCCTAGGGGTCAGGGCTCTCTAGCCCGTAGCCCGATCCCGATCATCCGGCCCGCTGGTGCGCTTCTCCGGGTGGTTCCGTTCACGAAGACGTTCGTGTGAATTCGTTCGTGTCCGAATCTGTTTCCTATCAGACGTCTCTTGCTGCTTGCTCCATCGTATGTGAATGTCGTGGTACGATTTGCGTTTTCCGGGTTCCGGTCGGCGGTCGTTTCCGATTCGTTTCCCCCCTGAGAACGCTGAACGGACCAAACACCTATATCTTTGCCCTCTCCTTTGTACAATCGCATCCTAACAAAACCGCGGCAGATCACCACACGGACACGCGCGCCGCTGTTGTTCTCGAAAAAAAATGTTCCAGTCTTAGCAAGCAAAAGGGAGCACATCAGACACGACTCAGCAAGTGCGCCTCGGGCTTCGCCGCGGCGGCTGCGAGAGGGAGGGCCGCGCTCTTTGCAGTGAGCCCCGGCAGGTCGGCTATCCATCCAGCGGGCCTCGGAGGACTGGACTCGTAATTCGCGAAGTTCCATTAGAGTAGGTCCCAGGGCGCCGCCGATGATATCGCCGCATTCAACAACTTGAAAAGAAATGCGCCGGGTGGAGTGCACGACGCTTCACCTCTCCACGCGCTCTGTGTCTCGCTCTCCTTCTCCATCGGGGCGCCCCGTCTACTCGGAGCTAATACACACAAGACTCGAACACCACCACGGACACTCTCACCCGGTGAGTCTTCACGAGACGATGAGTTCCGCCGAGTTTCGAGCCGAGATCGGCCGAGATCGTCCGAGGGGCTGCGTCCACTTCGCCAACAGGGCGCGATATGCGAGCCCTTCTTCGATGGCTCCGCCTGCTGGTCGCCGTGACCACAGCCGACGCTCATGGCTACATGTGCGCCTCGCCCGCTCTCTCGCGAAGGCACCTCCGCTGGCGGCCGCTTCACGCCCGCCTCCTCCGCCAGGACCAAGCCGACCAAGCGGGAGGCGTTCTGGGTCGATGGAATCGTCTGTGATGCGTCGAGCCTCAACCCCGGCTCCTTTTGCTGGGCCCAGCCGCACAACTTCCAGCAGGCCAACCACCCATTCACCTTCTTTGCGCCCGAGGTCGCATCTGGCATGCAGCACTCCGACGACGCTTTTGCGTGCCACGACATGAGGGCGGCGGCGGCGCCGACCGACACAATCACCGCTGGGGCGCCGCTCGCCGTCGAGTGGTACCTGCAGGCAAACCATCCCGGCGACTGCGCCCTGTACATCTCGTACGACACAGACCTGGACACTCCACGCCGCTGGATCAAGCTCAAGAACTTTGTGGGCTGCGCGGGCGACGCGGGGATGCTGGACCCGACGGTCCCGCCGAGCGGCATCAACACGGCCACCGTGACACTGCCCGACTGGCTGCCCTCGTGCGACCACTGCGTGATTCGGTGGGAATGGTGCGTCTCGCAATCGCAGCCATGCTCGTGCGACGTTGGACGCGTCCATGATGCGTCCGTGCATGACCTAGGTACGCCATCCACACGGTCGACATGCAGCAGTACGCCACCTGCAGCGACGTGCGCGTCGTCGGCACCTCCGAGCCGCACGACACCTTCCTCTCCAAGGTGTCGCCTGTGCTAGCCCTCGCTGCCCGACCCACAAGATGACCCTGGCCGCCCCGCGCAGCCTGACCCCAATCGTGCTCGTCTCCGAGGTGTCGCCCGTGCTCGACCTGGTCGGGGCGGAGCACCTGCGCGGCCCCGTCCGCAACCCGTACGCCACCTGCCCCTCCTGCCCCAACAGCGGGATCGAGCTCGGCGAGGAGTACATTCTCGGGCCGCAAGTCGCAGCCTACAGTGCCGACCCATCTCCCGGCCCGCCGCCGCTGCCGCCCCGCCCGCCACCCGGGCCGCAGCCTCCCCCGTCGCCGCCGCCGCCTCCCTCGCCGCCGCCGCCGCCTCCCGCCCCAGAAACGGCATGCTCCGTGTGCGCCCACCCCGCCTGCGGCTGCGATCTCCTCGGTCGACCTTGGTGCGCCGTGAGCCACTGCCACGACCAGCTGGACAGCAGCGGCTCTTGCACGTGGGGAGTCTCTTGCGCGACCGTGACGCCCTCGCCCTCGCCAAACCCCGCGCCACCCCCGTCCCCATCCCCGTCCCCGCCTCCATCGCTGTCGCCATCGCTGTCGCCATCCCCGCCGCCACCTCGCTCGGCGCACCC